TTTTGCAACATCCAAAATCAATATTTTTTTAAACTCATTTGAGCTGAAAAATTGATATTTCATTTGCAAATTCCAAAAATTTAAAAGGGTTTAAAGAATTTAAATACAATTTATAACAAATAAATTTATAGTATCAATTGAATTATTAAATTTTGCATATGCATAAAATGGCATAATTCCAAAAATTATTTCGTCTATTTTATAAAAATCATATAACCAATCAATCATTCTAAATACTTAACTAAATAATCCTAAAGCATTCATTAAATTATTTCATCCATGATCGTACTTGGTTATTAATGAAATCTAAAGAATTGAGTTATATAGCAATTGAGATGATTTATACTATTGGGATGCCATAAAACTGATGAAAACTAAAAATAGAGCACATTTACAAATGATTGTTAGTAAATTTTCTGTATTCAAATAATAAGTTGATGATGAGTCGTCTAAGGCGAATATATAACTTAAGAATAATGATATATTATAGGTGTCTAAGAAATTCACTTAAATATAATATTGAATACATAAAATGATTTATATTTTATTTATACTATATTCAGAATATATCATTATTCATTATTAACTTGAGGAGTCTTCTAAAATAATAAATATTTTATTAATAATGATCTGTCTCTATATTTCTAGTCCTCTTAGAATATTTTAATTAACATTGACAAAAAATTCCAACATGCTGTATAGATTTAAATTTAAATATCTAAAATATATTTGATAATGTTGAAAATAGAATATAAATTTATGTAAACATGCCATAGGTAACCAAAAAAAATATTAAGAAAAATTCAGAAAATTAACTCATAAATATATTTTAATTGAACAATAGAATGCTAAAAAATCAATATACTAATTAGCAAGCTGTAAAATAACATAAGGAATACAAAGTTATAGTTATAGTTTTTAAATTCACAATTAAAAGGACAGATAATTAAGAATTCATATATTAATGTTATCAAAAAGATTTGACTATTTTTATATATTTTATTTAAAGGCTACAAAATTGGTCATCAAAATAGAGTATTATATTAAAGTTATCCAAGCCAACTCTAGAAGGGCATGAAAAGCTTTAAAGATCAAACCAATAGAACAAATGCAATAATAAAAGTGATTCTAAAAAGCAATTTTTTTAGAGCGCTTTCATAATCACAAAATGCTTCTTAGGAGATTGTATAAAATCTTCGAAGCAGATTGTTTAAATGCCCTAAGAGTAAAATTTGATAAACTTTTCAATTCATAATACAAGTATTTTATATTAATAATATAGCTCCATCTTTAATTCACATTGATCATCCTACTTCTTCTGAATTATATTAAAACACTATAGATTTAGACCTTTATCTATTTAATTCGTTTTCACAAAGACCAATTTTACGATAGAAATGTTGGACCTTAGCATTCTAGAAAAAAAAGAAAAGTCAATATTGGTCAATTTTATGAACTGAAATAATCATTAGAAAAGGACTAAATTTATAATGTTTAGTAAAAACAGGTGTAGATTCAATATGAATGATTATTATAAACTCAATTTTTTATCATATTATATTATTAGACATTAATTGTGATTTTTACTTATTCAATAATTTTTTGATACATAATCGAAGTAAGATTAATTTTCGAACATCGTGTTTAATTAGATACATTTTCTTTTAATTGATTTTCTTAATTTCTTAAAAACTGTTAAGAACAAATAATTCAATATCATAAAATAAAATCCAATTTTTATATAATCCCCAAAATAAATCAAAAATAAAAGTGTTATTTGAAGATTAGTCATAAATTATAGTCCCTAGTTTGAATTAAAGTATATAAACTTGAATTTTTAATTCTATTTATTAGTATTAATTCTAATATCAATAGTTAATATATTCATCATTATAGAATCTAAAACTTTAAGATAGTTAATGTATACTTTCAGAAACTCTCTGTAAAATCCTTTATTTATTGTAAATTTTTTTTTTACTAAGAATAACAAAAATTTTTGGATAAATAAAAATGTGTTAACGATAAAAAGTAATTGTTATTAATCATATGATATTCTTAATTTTTAATAAAATTTTCTTATTTTATTCATCTTAAATAATGAATATCATTTAGAACAATTTATTCATATTAGATTGATTTTTATAATTACTTGTAAGAAATTTTTTAATTTATTTCAACATTATAGATATA